GTCCATTTGTATGTGGTGAAACTGTAAACCGCTTGTTCCCTATTGTGACGATATCAAGAGAAAGACATATATATAGAGATGTCTAGATCGTTTTAGTTTCAATAAGGACAAAGAATATATAATTAATTTTAAGGCCAGAAAAGAGAGCCTCCGGTAGGTTAGTGGTTAGTGTGGTAGACCGGATGTGGTGGGTTTTATTCCCACCTGAGGCACTGGTTAAAGACCACACAACAGGCCCAATAGAAGCCTAGTTGTATTTCTTCGGATTTGATGTATATATTTACATTCTTCTTGCAAACTAACTAACTAACTAACTAACTAACTAACTAACTAACTAACTAACTAACTAACTAACTAACTAACTAACTAACTAACTAACTAACTAACTAACTAACTAACTAACTAACTAACTAACTAACTAACTAACTAACTAACTAACTAACTAACTAACTAACTAACTAACTACTAACTAACTAACTAACTAACTAACTAACTAACTAACTAACTAACTAACTAACTAACTAACTAACTAACTAACTAACTAACTAACTAACTAACTAACTAACTAACTAACTAACTAACTAACTAACTAACTAACTAACTAACTAACTAACTAACTAACTAACTAACGAACTACTAACTAACTAACTAACTAACTACTAACTAACTACTAACTAACTAACTACTAACTAACTAACTAACTACTAACTAACTAACTAACTAACTAACTAACTAACTAACTAACTAACTAACTAACTAACTAACTAACTAACTACTAACTAACTAACTAACTAACTAACTAACTAACTAACTAACTAACTAACTAACTAACTAACTAACTAACTAACTAACTAACTAACTAACTAACTAACTACTAACTAACTAACTAACTAACTAACTAACTAACTAACTAACTAACTAACTAACTAACTAACTAACTAACTAACTAACTAACTAACTAACTAACTACTAACTAACTAACTAACTAACTAACTAACTAACTAACTACTTAAATACCAAAAAAATCAAGCCAATTTCAGATACAATTTAAAGCGAAAGAGAGCGACCTATAACAATCGAAACGAATAGTTGTCGCACAAAATCTGAACAAGGTCTGGACTGTAAGGCGCGTGAGGCAAAACTTCTCAACCACTTCTGCTAAAGTAGTCATGATAGAATATAAGACTTTCATGTCTGTCGCATATTCTCAGCAGTTTTCGACATAGGCTTGCTTCAAACGAATCTGTTGTGTTCTGTATATTTCCTCCTTGTTTTTGGGCCCAATAGCTTCACATACGATCCCTTACACTTTGTGTTATCGAAATGGATCCAATTTGTTGTTGCAAGTAATTATTCAGTACAAAAATGATTTTCTTGTATAGCATTTAAGCAGCAAGCCTTTCAAGATCTTTCGGCTTCTATTGGTATGGTACACAATTCCTCTGTTTTTAAAGGTATCCTGTTGCTCACAAACTTTTTGAGATTACTGATTGAGTAGCTCCTAATTATTTTCAAACTATTGTTGAGTTTGTCAGCAATCTAAATGGAATAATGCCTCTCTTTGGTCTTAAAACTGTTTTTTGGACTGTCCTGCAAGATTTTTATATTCCTTGTCAAAATCACCACTTCTGAAGCGCACAACCCTTCCCTCGCCTATTGAAACTGATGGAACACATTCACCATAAGTTTCCATGTGCTTTATCGGCTCAAAAAATTAAAGAGGAAAATAAAAACTTCCCGAACGTAATAGAAGCTTTCTCAGAGAGACTTTAATAGAATGTTAATATAGTTAAGTCTTCATTATTGCTTTTTCAATTCTTAAAGGTTTTTCAACAAGAATTGTAATTGATATCCTGGTGAAGTAGGTAGTTAGTGAAGCTTTTCCATCCGAACTGTTGCTTATTGACTTTTTTACATAAATAAAATTATGTTGCTAAAGCGCATGCTACAACATCGTGTAGCAACATTGAATTAAATAATTTTAAAATAAATTCGAATATAGAATTTCTCTACTCAATAAATAGTACTAAACTTTAAACATTTTAAATTTAGTAATTTTAAAACTTAATACATATAATTTAAACATATACGATATCATCACAAATAACTTGATACACCTATTAGCCGGATTTATTTGATAATAATTTAATGGAATTTAAATTCAATTTCCTGTTCCTGTAAACACGCTCAACATGCACAATTCACATGTCATGAGAATTTAACATATAAATACCACACCTTGACAACTAAATTATTGAGAAACCAACAATATGAATATGTATAATTATTACACAATATTTGAAAATGTAGAAAAAACAAAAACAAACAAATAATGAATGGAATGACCTATGACACTATAACAACGACTCTATGAAATTGTCCATATAATAACGAACAAAAGGAGCAAACAAACAACAAATACAACATTAACATACATTTACAGTAATAAATACAATTTGAATGAAATTTCCCGCTAGGGTACAATGTCAAATCGTACAGAATCAAATTTTTTGATTCTCTCTTTTGGTATTCGGCAGCTTTATATAGAAAATACTGCGCCTGTGCTGCATTAAAAACAACAAATTTTATTAATTTTTAAATTACAACATAAATGAGTAAAACTTTTCGTTGAGATATTCATAGTGAATAAAATAATAAACGAACAAATTTGCACGTGTATCTCAAGCAAGAAAAAAAATGCGGTTTGATCCAATGACGAAACTAGGGAGACTTATGAATCAGTGTATTAGTTTATATGAAAACGTTAGTAGTAGCATTTAGTAGAATATTTACGAGTATAATACTACATTGGTAGTAGTAGCGATACGAGAGTTAATACATGTTAAAAATGCCTTCGTACTGTGGAGAAAACACACAGGGAACAGGAGTTTTTTTCAGAATCAAAACGTATACAATTTTATATACATATAAACAAATTTCTCAATTTTCCAGTTGTGTTGAGCCCCAGTGTCCAACAAAATGCAGAAGTTTAAAATAACAATTTGATGCAAAAAAAAAAAAAAACAGGAATACAAAAACACGGCACTGAAACAAGGAATCAAGAATCTGAAAACCTCAAAATAAATTTTGATTTCCCAACATTATTTTCCAAACACCCTAGGAATTTACAGGATACTGGCGATCTCCTGTTTTTGCAAAAATATTGGTTGTCCTTTTTCCCTAGCATAACTCTGGGAGAAACTGTAGAAAGGTTCTGATCTGAAATTAAAGCAGTTAACATTTATGCTGCAATACCCAGAAGAGAGTTGTAGGCGCAGCAAATTAAATCTGTTTTCATTAGGAGTTACAAAAAAAGACATTTCTGTACATATTAAGGCCCTACGTGACGCCTAGCTACCCGACTTTACAAATATTATTCATCTGTTTTATCTAAGAGAGTTAAGTTCTAAAGAAGAGTTCCATTTGTGAATCATTCTGTTAGTCAGCATTTTCTAGCCACTAAGTAAGGTTGGATCTCAAATGTTCTATGGAATACCAAAACTTATGTGACCCACAGCCAAAAACTCTATTATATGGCGATTCGCAAATTCAACAATAATCAAATTTGAAAAAAGTCGAAACAATGAAACCAATTTATACTTTTCTAAAGCATTAAGCCGCGCTGAATCCGAATTAGATTTTCTCCATCACATCTGGAATTCGAGATATCGTATCCTGAAATTAAAAAAAAACATTTTTGATACTTTTTAAGACGTTATAACAGCGCTAAGACAACTTTTATATAAAATGTTGCATGACATTTGAAGGTCCATTTTATAGGCTTTAAAATAAGGACTTAACATCTGATATATCTTCTTTCAGGGGACAGCTTCGGATTCAGTGCAGATCAATTCTGTAGAAAAGTGCACTTTGGTCTCTGAGTTAGAAATTTGCCGGTCTGTGCAATCCATGAATTTGAGAAAATATCGATATTAATGAAAGATTGGAAAAAAAACTTGTCCCAGTAATTCGGTCGGACAGTACCGAACTACCTATTTAACCTACTACTTAGGGTTACCCTTAGCCACCGACTGCCCAGGTGACTAGCTATTTTAACATGTTCTTGTCTAATGAGGAAGTCAATTGTCACCCCATAGATTACGAAGAGACAGACAAGAATATGTTAAAATTGTCACCGACTACCCAAGTGACAATTTTAACATGTGCTTGTCCTACAAGGATATCTATCGTTACCCCATAGATTACAAGGAGACAATCAAAGAGCTTACGTTTGTTTTTTAAGTGTCCACTCTCTCGCTAACAAAGGTAATAAGAAGTTTCTAGAAAACCTGAGTTTACATATAAAAGTTCAAAACTCTTCAACAAAAACTCCTAGCGCCTTCGCAATGGTTAATATAGCGTAACAGTAATAACCAGAATTACACCTCTCTCTATCCTGCAAACTTTGACTTTGAGCTTCAATATCAATTACTCTTCGCTATATCCAGCAACTTAAGATCGTAAGTCAGGTACAACTATGGTACCTATTGAACCTTTAAAAGCTGTATATGATAGTTCGCAATAGGTTTTTGGACTCAAAAGTGAATGTATGGATTCAACATCTTTTCAATTGGATCTAAAAAGTCCTAAATTTCATAGTTATCTAGAACCTAAGATCTACTTGGACGGCCAGACGGACAGACACGACTTTATCGATCCAAATTCGGAGCAAGTTTTGTTTTGTAAGAAATTTCATTTATCAATAATTTAGTCCTTTAAAGCCCCTTTCCATAGACAAGGTTTACTTGGACGGCCAGATGGACGGACATGACTTTATCGATTCAGAATTGAACCAAATTTGTATAAGAAATTTCTTTACCTTATTTTCAAGAATTTAGTCCTTTAAAGCCCCTTTCCAAAAACAAACAAAAAAAAAACCAGCATGAAATGGGTGTTAAGTTGTCAAATGTTTATGTTGCTTTGCTCAGTTTCAACAACCACAGACCGATATATTCAAGCATACGAACGAACGAACATTGCGAGAGAGAGGGGTTCCAAACGAATTTCTTTTCAGACAGTTGTGGCAGTAGTAGGCCACTACCAGTAAATGGTGATGCATTCATTTTTTAGTTTATTGTGTGTATTAAACTAAATATATCAACTTACAACAAATAAATAAATAAATAATTAATCTTTTTTTTATAAATTTTGTAAATGAAAAATTAAACAAAAAACAACAATTAAAAAAAAGTAAATTAGCTGTAATGGCTTTAAGAAAGTTAAACAATTTAATTTGACAACCACCAAAACGAAATGTCTCATCTATTAAAGCGTACAAAAAAATCTTGTATCAAGGTAAGTAATTTTTGTTTAAATTTCATTTATCTCAACAATTTGTTGTATAAAAAGCATTAAGGGTCAATTGTTTAGTTTAAAATTTATTAAAAGAAAATAAATCAATAATATTGATTAAAACCTTTTTTATATATCTAAATAAAAAAAGGATTATCCTTGTAACGCATAGATGAAACAAAAAAAGAAATATGCCAACCAACAACTAAAATAGCAACAAACAATAGAGAGCACAAACTACATATTTATGACCACAACAATGCTTTAGACTATATAGTAGTTAGTTCCAATGAAGAATGCTATTTTCCTTTTAAATTCACATTCAACAAAGGGCTGTTTTTATGGTTAATTATAAGGTTAATCATATGTTTAAAGGAATTAATCTTAATTTAAGTAATAATTATTTCTTATTATAGGAAAATTTCACCAAAATTTTAGGCAATTTATTTGGTTTTTGTTTCTATTTAAAAAGAAAATTTTCTTTAAGTGGTTTGTTACGCCCTTTTGCATTTGAGGCAAAACAAATACATACACGTGCGTTATTTAACTTCCGGAAAATTTTATAAGTTTAGTTATTATAACGAAAGTATTAAATTTCTTTGTATGTAAATGTATTAATAATATTAATTAAATCAATTAAAAAACAAGTAAGGAAATATAATTGGACATGTTCGAATGATCTCTCCCATCTTTGCGTTATTTCAATCCGGAGGAAAAGAGGTGTTACCAATACCTTGGCCTTCTCTTGAAATTATTTGACCTGGTGTCGAACCAGGGAGCCTTATGGTAGCCCATAGGGCTGAGTTTCAGATTTTGTATAGTCCTGTTTATTGGAGAGGTCCCTTCGGACTGCACGTGGTGTCTGTAGTTTAAACTCAAACTCGCGGGAAGACAATGTTGGTTAGACACGGTAAAGTCTATAATTCGGGAAAGTTAGGAGCTGTTGGCGAGTCAACAGATAATCCGCTGAGGAGTAACTGTGGAACTAAGCGTTGGAAGTTGATGTCATGTGTTCATATACACTTGACACTTACGGGATGGATGTAGGGGAATGCGGACTCACTCATTCCTATACCTAGAATGAGTGTGTCAGAATTTGAATTTGAATGTATATGTTTAGGGTTTACTCTGTTTATACAAGATATGTGGTAAATCTGGTATGAAGTGTGTTCTCTATGAGTTGTTGTTGTAACAGCTTAAACTATAACATTTTTAATCCGGGGGTTCTGTTGAGCTCCATCCCGATCTCTGTTGTCTTGTTTTCTGCGGCAGGTTCTCCTATATTTCTTCTATATGGGGTAAGCGACCTTCAAGAACGACATTCATGCGGTAACCAGAAATAGCGGTATTCTCTATGAATGTCATTCAAAGCTCTTGTGTACGATTTACGATCCAAGGGATCCTGCACATATATATATTCGTATGTTCTCCTCGTATACACGAAGGTCCTTCCTAACATGCCTCGGGGAGCATCCAACAGTGTGATGTTAAAGTTGGGTGGACTCCTCCGGTGACATACCAGAAGGAACACGAATGTCGAAGTGCTTTACGTGAACACCTACGTTGAAGGCCTTATTTCACGGTGGTCTTTTTCATCCACTGGGTAGATTGAGAAAGGTCTACCATGCGCCCCTGAATCCTTCTATGAAGAAATCAGGTGTCAATTTTTGTACATGGCTGAGCCGGTCCATGTACAACCACTTTGCTGAAGTACTCGAGCTACCTAATTTCTTGCCATAGTATCCCGGTTGGGGAATAACAGGTGTCATGAGACAAGCTCAATCTAACTCCGACAAAGGAAAAGGCAATCACTGAAAACAACCTATTGATGCCATGAAGAAAGCCATTGTCCCCACAAACATTCTCATCATCTAAAGACTCATTGCATTCCTGGACCTCTTAAAGTCGCCCAACCACACTACTGAGATGGCTTCTGTTGTTTTGGCAACAGCACCAAGAGACGTATTTGGTAGCCCGAAATGCCCAAAATAATGAAACAGGATCCCTCTGCGTGAACCGATCCGTGTGAAAAAGGATTTAGGAATTTCCAAAGTCAACTGAACCCAATAATTGCCCCGACAATTAGTCGCGTAGAAAAAAGGCATACTAAATCAGTACTAATCTCCAATATATGGAGACTTTCCCGATCATTCATCAATTTTCGCATCAGTTCCATTCCCTTGATCATAAAGATCTGTCTACGGAATGACACTCAACTAGGACCCCTAATATAAACAGAACATGAACTTTTTTGTTTTAACTCAAAAATTTTGATATTTGGTGGAAAATAAGATTTTAATCGTTCTTGCCCTCTAGTTTATGTTTTCACTAAGAAAAGGTACTATTTCGAGTGTTGTTTTTATGAACAATTCTGAAAGTACTATTTGAAGGACATTTATGTTTAATTTCATGTGTTTTGGATTCATAGTATGGACAATTCCAAAAGTACTATTTGAAGAACGAAATATACCAAAGCTCCCTTTTCAAATTCAAAAAGTACCATTTTTAGAGAACGAAAAAAGGTGTTTCTTATAGAATCAAATTAACTCAGAGTTTAAATTTTTATTTAACGATTTAAATTTGCTTTTAATTGGTCAAAGAAAATTATGTTAAAAAAAGCTCCAAACTATTTACCCGAATTTGGCCCTATATTCCAGATCTTCGACGTTTTAAACTCTTTTAACATCTCAATCAAAAATCTCATTCTCTTTTTCTCTTTTCCAGCTCATACGTAAATTGTCCACAAAACAAATATTCCTTAAACGTTTAGAAGAGGAAGATATCTCCACCGATATTGACCCATCGGTAGAAGCAACCGAAAAGCCGAACAATCAAAATTCCAATACAACACCGAGTAATGCAGCGACAAGATCATATCAACGTCAAACAAGCAAAAAAGAAACCAAAGATAGTCCCAAACATAAACAGGCAAAAAATGCGAAATCGTTAAAACACTTGGATGAAGATGATGATGAGGATGAAACTCCCGATACAGCCATTTTACAAAGTTTAACTTCTAAACTATTTCTAACAGCCGATGGTTATGAATTTCAACGTTTAGAACAATTGCGCAGTGATACTGCCTCGGAAATTATACCTTTTGATGGAAATTTCAATAATAACATTAAAAAGCCGCCTTCATCATTCGCCGATGACATAAATCTTGAGGTTGTTTTTGAAAAAGTCAAGTACAAAGAAGATGTGCGTTACTTCCGTCATACACCGTCCACAGCTAGTTTAGATAATTACTTTATTAATGATCAGGAACTAAATCTCATCACTAGCAATACCCATACCAGTAACTGTCCCAATGGCAGTAATGCAAATAATAACAACAACATTAGCAACAACAATCATAATCATAATCACAATAATAACAACAACAGCAATGCTATTAATTTAAATAATCCAATTTTTACCAATAGAGGCCTTGAAATGACGCATCATAATTACTTTAATTCCCAATATAATCATCATCTTAATAATCATTTGCTTCCAGTTAATGTTAGTTTAGGTTGTAAATCCGATGGCAACTATCATCAATTCATTATCGGTCAAGAAAGAGATTGTTTTTATAAATTAACTCCAGTGGTTAAATGGGATATAAATGGAAATTCTTTGGAAGATGATATGGATAATTTTCATTGTTTTAGTATAAATTCAAATAATTCACCGGCTAAATCAAGTTTACGCTCAAGTTCGACCACATTGGAGACCTGGCTGGAAGATGAGTAGAGAAGCGTGAGATTAAGGGATCGCTCTAGTGGGAAAGGTGGATGGATTATAGGATTTTTGTGGTTTAAGAAAATTTTTGGCAATTTATTAAAATATAACGGAATCGGATATATCTGTTGGTTTTTACAATTCCGAACAAATGGAACTATAGAAATCGGTTCCACATGGTTTCAGCATTATATCTCTTTTATAAAAAGCATCCTTAATGTATGGCTCGCGTACTTTGACGACTATTCTCTTTATGACTTCGTTTTCTGAATCAATTATTCGACTTTTTCTTACAAGAATGTGGATTTATCGACGTTTCGACCTTTCGATCGCTTAAAAACGGATCCCTGAGCGTTTGTGGCAACTTCTAATAGATATCGGGTATTTTAAGAAACTCTGGTATGTGCTCCAAATAAAATAAGTCCCAAAATCCATTTCTAAATTACGATGAAGCTACAGAGGACTTCCGATCAAGGACCCGAGATCCATATCATTCTATGATATTCTGCATTCGGCCTATCGTAACTTCGGTTTGGAGTCTATAGCGAACTGGGTTTACAACGGAACTCGTTCCTTAAAATAGCAGCTTTGAATTACAATATAATAGTACACAAATTGTCAGTTCCGAATCGATAAAATTTGTTTTACAAAAGCTTTTGAAACTTAACTTCGAAACCTTATTCCTTATTCGAAGTTCTCAAATCTTTTTGAACCTTTCTAATACTATAATAAATCCTATAGATCCAATCTTAAATGTTTGTGATAACTCGAGACTTTCAGTGGCGATATATCCCTATACTGGATTGAAGTCTGTAGAGTACTGGGTTTATTCCGGAACTCGATTTATAACATTATAATCCGAATTACAGTGTTATAAGCACTAAAATTGTCAGTTTCGAATGGAGTTTAATTTATCAAATGAACAACTTTCGAGGCTTGAATGAGCTTAACTTTGGAACTCTCCAAATTTCTCGGCATTGGATTGGGTTCTGTCGAGAAATGTGAGTTACTCCGATCCTTTAGGGAACCGTTTTGATTTGCAGTAAAATTGTGAAATAAAAAATTTTGGAGACTTGAACGATATTAACTTTTCTCGGAGTTCCACTATTAAGTGAAGAAATAGGTCCATACAACCGTAAAAATATTCCATATTTCACATCAAAAAATGATTTTTTTCAGATTTTGCTACAATCATCTTACTTCCCTGATCCGTTCATAAGTCCTTACCCCGCTAGAGTTGTTAAAACAATGATTGTGGAGTTATAATTTGAAATTGTTTTTATAACAACAACAATGTGGCCTTAATCATTATCAAAATGTAAAGAAAAAGTTGTGTTTATAGTCGCTCTCTCTCTCTCGCTCTTGCTCGCTGTCTTATATCCACACATCACTTTATCACTCTCGCAAAGTGTAATTAACTTTTGAAATATAGCAGGAAATAAAAAAAAATTATTATATTATAACAAATAACAATCAGCAACAATGATGTATTTTTTTCTAAAAGAACGAAAGCCTGTAAGTAAGATGGAAAGAATTAAAAAGAAAAAAAAAAAACAATTTTAACTAAAATCTATTGTCATGGGCACGTGGTTAGTTGAAAATCATAAACAACAATAATTTTGAAATATATTTCGAACATGTATTCCAACGAGCATCCATTAATATGTAAGTTTCTTTAGCCTAAGAAACAAAAAAGCAATTTGAAGTACTTGTACTCGTTGTACATTGTATATTTTGGCTACATCAAAAGGTTTTTATTTCAAATATTGTTTCATTTTTTTTGTTTTGTGCATTAAAAAAAAGTTCGTCCAGCACGTGTCAAACATGCGTGAGAAATGTCTTCGTAGTGCATTTCCCACGTCGTACCATCCATTCTTCATTCGATACATTCATTCATTCATATCTTTGCTTTGGGTGGTTCAATTTGGTATGTTCGTTCAATTTTTATTTAATGTCGCATTTAAGTTTAACATTTGATATTGTTTGCGTATCTTGTTTATTCGGAATATTTGGGGGTGAGTTTTTTTTTTGTTAATATTTGATTTGGTTGTGTTTTTAGTTTGCTCACATGAGAATATTTATTTGGTGGTCTTTTATTGTTGATGATTTTATTGTCCGTCAAAAAAAAAAGATTGTTTTGATTAATTATATAAAAACAAAATTTACATAGAAAAAAAAATTTTTTTGATGTTCGATTAAAAAACAATAATTACTGCTAGTTATGCCCCTTAATGGGAGATTCCTTTTCGTAATTATGATATTTTAATTAAAAATAAAAATGTAATTTAAGCGTTTTAAGGAAATTAAAAATTATGGGAAAAATAATGAAAAATATTCAATTCTAGCATTAAAGCAGACCAAAGGAACTTTTTCAGATACTTGAAAAGCAATTTGGGTCTTATTGATATCGCCATAACCTTTAGATCTCAGAAACACCATGGCAAATGTTAAAAACTCTTCAAATGTTTCAAAACTTTGCAAAAAAAAAACATATTAAAAAAGAAATAATTGTTCAATTAGGATTGCTAGGGAGCTAGGAGAAAATAGGATTCGATTCTCTTAAAATTTGTTGGATAAATTTAAGTTCAGTCGTCTTAAGTGAATTTTTGGACTTTAAAGTCATTTTCGTATTGAGACTAGGATCAAATGAATCGCGATCATTATGAAATTCAATCATGATTAGTATAAAACTGAATTGTGCCAATTTTTTCGGAAAAACTAGTATATTAAACATGATTATGAGCTCAAAACCCTATTCTGTTTTATCAGGGTTACATGAATAGATCAATTTTAACCATTTTCAATACGCATTAAGTTAGGTTCAAAATTGGTACCTGTAAACTACAGGAGATAGTTAAATCGACTCAAAAAAGTCAATTGGTATACTTTAAGTTGGGTATGGGGCCACTATTAGATTAGATTAGATTAGAAAGGCCACTAAGTATCACGACCCTGTTTTGGTTCTTTTGTGCAGCCCGTAAGTTCACCATACCAGGTTCAATTCACGTATGAAAACAACGGGTTTTGATTGGTGAGATAGTGAATATATCCTGCGGGGAGCTTTACGTGAACACCTGCCGTGTTGGCCTTATTTCAAGGAGGTCTTTTTCAACCACTGGGTGAGCTACTTTGACGACTTACCACCGCTCATTGTGTATCTTACATGCAGTTGGCAATATCGCTGTGCCGGTCCATGTACGAGCTATCCAATTTCTGACCATTTCCTCCCCGCTGTAAAAGCATCACTTCCGTTTACAACCACGCAGATGGGATGACCTCTGTTGATTCAGCAATAACACCTAGAGACGTATTCGGCAGTCCGAAACACGAATCCATCAAATAAGCCTAGGACTGTTCTTACTCACAGAGAACACACTGTGGTATAAATAGAGTTTTCCCTGATTATACCTGGACAAGGAAGGAAAATTCAATGGTATCACCTGTATAAGATACCTTTCATTCATCACCATTCAACCCAGCACACATCTCATTCATCTAACACACTCACACTAGATATACACTCACTCCGTATACTCCTATATTCATACTGAATCATATACATTTATTGCCAACTCATTTCCAACACTTAGTCCCACAGTTACACCTCTGTGGGGTATCTGTTGACTTCGGCAACAGCACAGAACTTATCCTGAAATACAGATGTCACCGTGCATCAGTCTTTTAACCGACATTCTCTTCCCGTGAATTTGGGTTTAAACTACAGACACTATGTGGATCCCCAAGGAATCTCAACCCCGCTCGTAGTATCAGATTATGTGGTTCTCTGGTTCGACCCTGGTTCCACGGAAAGGCCGAGAATAGATTTGAACATAACCAGTTTATAGTCCCGGCAGACTAGAGGTATTGGTATCTCCTCTTTTCCCCGGTATTGCAATCGCAACAAGATGGGGTCTTTCATTAAGGTAACACGCACCCGGAGAGATCCTTCGGTGCTAGTGAAGCAGCACCCAAGATTCTAGCTCGATGTGATCCTAACATTGGACAGTTACACAGTATGTATTCAGAGGTTTCTTCCTGACAGCCTGGGGGAGGATGGCTATAGCAGGATATTCACAGAAAAGATGGAATATTGTTTGTTTGTGCGTTTCTCATTGAAGGAATGCCGAAAAAAACATGGCCCCTTTGCATGTGCCTAGGTTATTCCATCTATTTTTAGCCTTTTGAAGAATGAATCAGAGGATACTGCTTTTGATAAATTACCAAACGGAGTTGCTACTGAAGCGGCGTTGGAGGCATCAAAAGCAAATCTCGTTCTGGTGAGATTAACTGCCTGTGTGATGTCAAATAGGCGACCCAGTCTTGACAGATCTTTCTTGCATTATCTGACGAATAAGGAAGTGGCAGTATAAGAGTTTAGCGAAAGAATTGCCACTTGACCAACGACAAATATTCCTTTGTTGCCACGAATATTGAGATCATATAGTACCCAACACTACAGTTGTTGGGAAGACGGTGAGAGATATCCCAGATTCTTCACAGGAGACTCCAGAACCAACTCCGCAGTTCATTTTAGAGCCATCAGTAAAGATCCGCTAGTTTACTCCTACGCCACTCGTTCCCAGAAGGAACTCTAACTTTGAAAACTCCAAGCTTCTTCGCAGAAGACACCAGAACCAACTTCACAGCTCATTTTAGAGCAGTGGTGCTCAAACACATACTACCATAGTTTTATTTGTGTTGGTAAAGCAGCAGAGAACAAAATTCAAAATAAAAGTATATTAATAAAATGACTACAAACTATAAAGTATATGCTGACTGTCAAATATTTATTATGGATTTTGACAGCCAGCGTATATTAAAGTCTATATATAAGAAACTATCAACTGTTCTCTCATGTTCTTCTACATTAATTCGGCTTTCGCAAAATTTTGTTGTTGTATTTCTCTGTGTATTTTAAAAACGTCGCGCACAGACCTTGCTTCGACAAGTGCTGATCAGCAACTGATTTGATTTTGTTTTTCAAGTTGAGAGCAAACCAACTGATATTGCTCATTATAAAAAGAGAAGAATTAAACCTATAGTGTATGTGTATCAACTTAGCGTCCGCAGAATTTTCTTACCCTATCACGCGTGCTATGAAATGGCAATCTTGAGCTCCTCTGTTTTAGAGTCATCAGTAAAAATTCTGGTCGGTAGTTTACTCCTACACCACTCGCTCCCAGAAGGAACTCTAACTTTGAAAACTCTATCAAAGTCCGTGTGTGTGGATGATCGGTTAAAGATTAGAGGTAATTAATAGGCTTAAAATCTTAACATATCCATATGTTCTTGATCTCAAACTTCCGGCTGAGTTAAGCTTCGGAAGCAGTTCCGTAAGTATTCGAATTTATCACCCTAAGAACTCGAGCTAGGGAAGTTTTCGTGAGCATTTACATCTTAGAGAGCTCTTGAAGTAATTATTTTTCAAGTTGTTCCAACTACACGTGGTTACGGAACTAGTATGTAATCGATTAAAATATTGTTGTACCAATTAACAACAAATTCTTTAAAAACTCTTTAGAAGTACTTTGGAGTCACAGAGATTCCTATTCAGGAATATGAAGTGATTAGTGATTAGTTGCCTTTTTAGAACCACAAGACTAATTGAGGGAATAGATTGCCCTTTAACCTTTAATACATTTAACGACAACCAACAAACATTTAAGGAAGGTCTTAAGATTTAAACAGACGCCAATGATTAAAATCTAGACCGCACAAAATAAATACTAACAAATTCACCTGTTTCATGACCTAATTACAATGGTAAATAAATACTAAACGCCATGGGCGTTCTCCAATATCCTTAACAATGTCGTACGATGACCTACAAGAGCAGATAAAGATAAAGATTTTTGCATACAAACGTATAAACATTAAGAGAGCAACAGCAACTAAATGCACTTGTTGGGGGCAACACACGACCAGCATAAGTTACAAACGCGTGCTCCATATTCATTGAAAATCATCTAACAAATTTACAAACAACAACTGGCGACAAAACGAACAACTAAAACGACGCCTAAACAACAGTCGTATTATTATTGACAATATGTATTTGAGTAGATAACTTGTCAAGAGGTATAAATAAACAACGGCGGCGAGGACGAGGATGGTGACGACGACGACAGAGACATTGACAACAATCGATGAAACGTCGTTGACTGCAGGCAACAAACAATATTGTCAACAACTTTATTTGTGGTAAAGTTGCAGCATAAGCACCAAAACTTCTAAGATTAAGCAACAAGCATCAGTTCAAAAATACAACTCTCGAGCAAGTGGAACTTGCATAAAACAAATATTAACACAACAACTATAATAACTAAGCAGAAAAATAAACAACAACTAACATTGTTCTTGTTGTTTGATAATAATACACTTGTAGCAAAAACAACTACTAACAAAGTTGCTCGTTTCATGCATAATGTTTGAATTAAGTTGCCCTTTCTCTCTCTAACGCTATCGATACTCTTACACGTAAAATACTCTCTCTTTATTACACTTATTGCACAAACGATCAGACACAGCAGCGAATTAACCCTTACAGGATGCGGATGTATTAGTTGGACATAGAAGTAGTTGGACGAACGGGTGGTTTTTACGTTGCAACAAATGGGGTGGCTTATGAAGTTCAGATTTTATTGGTGAAAGGACGTTAAGATTGCCTGGAGTTTGAGTCGTGGCACATGCTGGTCGTACGTTTCAAAATCAGTCGAACGTCGTTCATACACACGATAAGACACGTGCTCTGAAACTAGCTCTACTACGAAATAAAAATAAAAATTTACTCAAATAAAAATTGTGTTTAAAAAAAAAAAAAATTATTAACAAAAAAATATTTAAACAAATTAAAAGCTTATAAAAATTTTTAAAAGTTTATAGAAAATTTAAAAATTTATAAAAATATAAAGAATTTTTTAAAAATATAATTGTGAAAAAAGTGTTAAGAAACAAAAAATGGATCACAATATGCATCATAATAATGCTGCTCTACATTGGAGCTATGGCGCCGCCGCAGTACCAACTACGCCGCAAAATCATTGGGTACCACCTCCACAAACTCACAGTTTAAAACGTGCCATGTCCGAAAGTGATTGTGAAGAATTATATTCCGAAGAATCATCCAAAGAACAGTGAGTTTTCTAGTTATTTTCTGATAAATATAAAGAATTGAGTTTCTTATTGGAAGTACGAAATTTTCTAATTTAAATGTTTCTTTTAACTTTTAGAATTTCTCCCAGTGAAACCAACAGTTGCCAGCTAATGAGTCGCAAAAAACGTCGTGGAGTTATTGAAAAGAAACGCCGTGATCGTATTAATTCCTCATTGTCGGAATTAAAACGTTTGGTGCCTTCGGCTTATGAAAAACAAGGTTCCGCCAAATTGGAAAAAGCTGAAATCTTGCAATTAACTGTGGAACATTTGAAAAGCTTGCAAAGTAAAGGTAATTATTAGCAATAGTTTTTAAAAATAGTAATTAGTTAATGGAATAAAGACAAATTTTGCCATTCAAAAGCTACCGAATTCTCAATAGATTTTTTAAGAAGCTTTTAGTGTTTTTTGTTTAGTTCGTTATAGCCATTGTATACTGTATTGATGTCAAAATGCAAAATGAAGTTTTCATTAAGTTTTGCGCATGTTTGATAAAGTGAAAAGAAAATCTTATGAAATATACTTTTTTGCAAAACTGCAAAAATATTCTTCTAAATCTAATGAAAGAATAAATTTGAATCAAAAGCTCCAAAAATTTTTCATTAAGAAGCTTTTTTACAATAAAACTTTTTCAACAAAAATTAAAGCAAATCACCAAACTAAGCGAAAAAAGTTTTTTCACTAAAAATGTTTTAATACAAAATATTTTATTTTAAGCTGAAAGACAACCAAACAACGACTAAGTGGTCACTCTTTTCAAAAAAAGTGTTTTCCTGAATAAGCTTTTCCTGAAAATAGCTTTTCGATGAAAAAGCTTTTTTAAAAAAAAGTCATCAAATTGCTTAATAAAACAAAAAAAAACTTTTTCACTAAAAAGCTTTCATAGCAAAAAGTTTTAGTAAATAAAAGCTTTTTTAATAAAAATTAACAAATTCTGCAAATTCTTTATAACTCACAAAAAGCTTTTTCACTAAAAAACTTTTATTTCAAAATAAGCTTTCCAAAGAATAAGATTTTTCAATAAAAATTAAAACAATTCACAAAATTGCTTTATAACATACCAAAAACCTTTACACTAAAAAGCATTTATAGTAAAAGCTTTTCAATTATTAAGATTTTTCAACAAAAAAAGCTTCTTCACTTTTCTCCCTAAAAAAGTTAGAATTTCAAACTGATCTAAAGGACATCTAATCAAAGTGATCTTTAAAATTGATTCTAATTAAAACAAGTTTTTCAAAATTTAATTCACTCACAGTGGGAGGTCACTATCAAAGTATCCCAAAAAAAAAGTATCCTATTAAGGAAAACCGGTTCCTAAATGGAATTTAAAAGTCAATGCTATTAGAAATTTAAATATATCCCAAGTAAACCAGAATAGACCAATTAAATCACTATTAAAATTTCTAATTCGATTTGGTTTAATCCCACTAATTTACTATGATTTCTAAAACGATTCCCACGCGTTTTAACCACTATTTGTATGGAAATTGGCACACGGGTTAATATGTTTTATACAATTATCCCACGGCTTTTACTACTAACACTAACACCACCCTCTCTAAAGCCACCAAAAAAACTCATAAAATGATATTAAATATGTTCAAAGCTAAATACTAGAAGTTTGATATAGTGAGAAAGTTGCTTCCCAAAGATTCGCAGTGTCATTTAAAAACACCCCTATAGCTATAAAAAAAATCCTATAAGAACTTTAGTTTTTGATGGTAAAAATAAGGGTGTTAAACAACAATTAATGGGATATTTCGTGGGAATATTAAAACCTTAGAAAAATTCTAATTGTTTACTTTAATTGTTAAACAAAAATATTAACTTTTCCTTTTTTTGTTTGTGTTTGTTTGCAGGTATGGATTCATTGGGTTATGATCCTCAAAGATTTGCCATGGATTATCATATTATTGGTTTTCGTGAATGTGCCGCCGAAGTGGCTAGATATTTGGTGACCATTGAAGGCATGGATATACAAGATCCTTTACGTTTGAGATTAATGTCTCATTTACAGTATTTTGTGCAGCAACGTGAAATGTCTAAAGGTTGTCCCGTAAGTCCTAGTGCTACTTGGGCTGGTCATCCTGCGGCTGCGTCTACAGCAGCGGCTGCTGCAGCTGCTTATCAACCCAATTGTGGTGTTACTCCTTATCAAACATATCCTTCTGCTGCTACCACACATGCTTCGGTTAGTTCTTCATATGTGCCCAATTTACCTGCTGCTTTACATCAATATCCCACTTTAAGCTCCTCACCCAATAGTACCAACATGCACTCTCAACAACAACAACAGCAGCAACAACATAATATGACTCAACAACACAATGTACGATCAACTTCAGTTGGTTCGGCTCAAGACACTTTGCCCTTAATGAATCATGCCACAGCTCAACAAGTTACCACACAACAGCAGCAGCAGCAAGTAACCTCGCAGCAGCAGCAACAACAACCTCAAACCCAAACCCAGCAACAAGTTACACATCCTCAACGCACACCCTCCACTCATGAAGCTCATCAACAACCACAGCAACAACAACAACAACAGCAGCAGCAGCAACAACAACAACCTCAATTAACTAATAATCAAGCTAGCCACCACACCTACACACAAAATCACACCCAAGACCATACACAACATCAGGGGGCCTCCACATACATTGAACTAACTAGTGCTCAAAGCCACAATAGTCTACGTCAAACTACACCAACAGTTCCTAGCAGTAGTTTAGGCTATACCACCATGCCTCCTCAGTATCCGGTTAGTGTAGGTCAAGAATATAATCATCAGACAGGTGTTTATGTAACAGCTAATGGTTCAAAACCCTATCGTCCTTGGGGTGCTGAAATGGCCTATTAACCATAAATAATAAGGAAAGAAATACATGTTAATCTTTAGATTCTTTAGGAATCTAAAGAAATAAAATATCTGATATTTGAGTCCTCAAAAGTTGTAATTTATTAAGGCTCCCTTAAACCCGATAATGTGATTTTTAACAAATCTTTAGCTAGAAAAAAACATGTATAAAAATGAGTGAAAAGTGTGATAATTGAAAAAAAAAACAAAATATTTATAATTGAAAAGTAAAACTATTTTGTAAAAAAATTTTGACCAACCAAAGAGATTATTTTTTATAAGCAATTTAACAAAAAAAAAAAAAAACAACAAAATTATAAATTTTATGTAAATTAAGAAAAACCATCTAAGTCATTAGCTTTTAAGAAAAACATTGCAAATTAGTTTAAGTATTTATTTTTATACCAATGAAAAAAAACAATAAAAACAAAATTAAAATAAAAATTTCCGGTACTTTTCTTTTATTGGAACTAGCGTCTTTGGGGTTTTGGTGAGAATGGAAATGATCACGTTTTAGCATTAAGAAAGATTTCATTTAAAAAGTCATATCCGAAGAAATACACCTCTATCGGGCCTGTTGTGCGCTCCTTAACCAGTGCCTCTGGTGGGAATCGAACTCACCACCTCCGGTCTACCAGACTAGAACACTAACCTACCGGAGGCCACTAACCTAACTTTTCAAAGATTTAGCGCTTGCATATATCAGATCACAAATTTTCAGATTTTGGTTTTAGAGGGCCTGGTTTTAAAGAAGAGAGTCCTCTCTATATTGAAAGCTTCTTTCGACAAATACAATATGTGAAGGACTCCTCTCATAAACGTTTGGGTATCAAGAGTATTAAGCTTTTTACGATGTTGAAATTGACTCGTACGACCCCATTTAGGCTTATTATAAATTACTGGTTAAGTAATCCTCAATACATCAATCCTAAACCGACTTAGTCTATAATTAAGTGAAGAGGAATTGCAACTAAAACAGCAACAATTATTCACATTATATAAGTTGGCTTCGCAGTAGCTTCTCCTGTTAGTCCAAATGTTTGCGGTATTTGCTGCTATCAACCGAAAAGCTCGGACAATGTTAGACCTTACGGTATGGATTATTCAAATAACATCGGTCTTAACGGCACAGAACAAGAAAATATCTTAACGGATCAAATCGCAGAGCTGATGTGACCAAAACGGACGATTATACGGTTACCGAACTTAATGCGCAAAATACCGATTGTTTGGCTAGATGCTGATGAGACCAACCGAACTTAATGTTTAGTTAGCTGTGGAACAGGATCTGTCAACGTGAAACCAAAGATCAGGTAAATTTCAGCCCATAAAAAGTCGGCAGCTGCACACTTTCGGTAATAGTAGCAAAATCATCATCGGTACGCATCGTGCAGTGATGGATACCGTAAGTACATTGGCAAGTAGTAGATCTAGTGAAACTCCTTTTCAACTAACGCTCAACATGGCTAATGTTGAAATATTTCCTTAAGTTGTTCTCATTTCAATCCGCTACTCTGATTGGTGGTCAAAAATCATCCACAAAAACACCATTATCATGGCTCTATAGCGCTCGACGATTGCCGAAATTTCATTTCCAGCATTTGAACACTTTGAGCTATATTCTAGTCGGTACCCACAGTACGGCTATGAACACCATAAGCATTGGTCATTGAAAAACGAGTCTCACGTACTTTTTTCACTAACATACGTTCAGAACTCACGGTAGATCGGAAAGGAAGTATTTTATGATCCAATTTCTAATAACCTTGGAATTAAGTATCGATCAATGTCGAAACATCCTACTAATTGGACCACTGAACCTTTATGATAAAAAGAAGTAAAAGAAAGAACTGAGCCTTGCGGTACTAAACTAGTTTTGAACTCATTTGATGAGATCTCATCTACAACAATTCGTTTAGAGCGATCTCTCTAAGAATGCTCAATATCGAACAATTTAGGAATATAAGAAGTAATTAATGTATATTCACCGAAAAGAAACGGCAAATATACAGTAGATCTTCAATAATGTGACCGCTAAGAAAATGATGCTGTCGGTCGATAGTTGGACTCTTAATATTTGACATACGGAGCATCTTGTTTCTAAGAAAACTGGACTTTCAGTTATGGTGAAAAGTACATGTCAGATAGTTTCGTCATTATGGCTTAGGTTTCTCAGAAATATAGAGCTTAAGCTTTTAACTCACAAATTTTGGATCAAATTGAAGCATACGATATCGATCGAAATCTCGATTTTAAAGATCGTTATACCTAAAGTTGGTGAAAACAAGAAATGAACAAAGTTTTACATTCTTATGTATCTAGAGGAGTAAGTAACTAAGGATTTTGGATTTTGCTTAAATTTGAGAATTCAAATATGAAATAAATCTGATCATAGTTCTCCTTTTAGATTTAATTTTCTATTAAAACCTATAGTTTCTGGGAAATTTAACTCAAAAACAAAATTCTTTTATATGGATAAAGTTCAGGTGCTATTTTAAAATAATTAAAATTTTATATGAAATTTTTAACACGTGTTATTTCAAGTACAAGAAATATTTGTAATAACTGCATTTATAAATACACATTTAAAAATTTAAATTAAAAACCAACAAAAATAATAATTTTATGTTGAGTTTTTGCCCCCAATAAAACAAAATAAGTAAAAATCTTGTTTCCCTTTAAAATTGTTTAACAATTTTAAACTAGTATAACAACCAACCAACCCCCTGTTGAGCCATACTAACGATAGATAATACAAAAAGGTCTTAAGGGTTAAGGTTTGTTTGGTCAATCAGCAAACAGCAGCCTTAAAACAGCAAGAAACAAAACACAATATACAGCAGCCTGGTAAGCAGCACCTTGTGTTTTTTAAGTCTGAACCCGTAAAAAAAGAGAGCGAGTTTTGTTTTACAAAACTAATTAACAAAAAAACGCGTTAAAAACAAGCCAAAAGGAAATAGAAAAACAGTAAGTTTTGTCGCGTATTTAATTATGTAAATTTATACATGAAAACTAAAAAGCGGTAAAAACATCTAACTGACCACTAATATGACCACTAGTTATATTTTTCTGTTGTTTAAAATTGTTAATCCTGCCCACATGTTTCCTAGATTTATACTTTTATGAGTAAAAAATATTAATATTAATGAACTGGGTTTATGAAGTAAATGGTCAGTTTGCAAAGTGGAGTGTTTTTTACAAAACACTCGGGCAGCAATTTTTCACACTTCGATGATTTAAAGATTATTGAACATAAATGCAATAATTAGTGGTTCTATTTGAAATATAGAGACCAATAAATGTTGTTTTTTCTATAAACAATAAACAAGGGTTTAAAATTGTTAAGCCTTAATTCAATTTTTTAAAACAAATTAAAATTTATTACTTCACCATTCTATAAAATCATTCATTCGAATTAATTCATAAGCTGAATTCCTTAGGACTTTAAAAATGTTGAATTCATTACTTGTATAATTCATTCTTTAAAGGCTTAATTCCTTGATGAATGAGTTAAATTTTTTCGAATTCAAATCTATTACAAAATAGCTTTAATCGTTTTTTCTTCATTCATTTTGTAGGGGATTAATGAAAATTTTTTAAATAAAAATGTATATACATTAGGGGGTCTTTTGTTCTTAGTTTTTAATTTTATTAATTTTAATTTTATTTTAATTTCAGCTAATTAAATATGCACTATATAAATAAGCACTATATTATAGATGAAATTAAAGTAAAATAAATATAGCCCCTATTTAATTTTACATAAATGACAAATCTTGTTCGAAGCATATTATTTATAAAGTTTTTTAAACGTTATTTTTGTGCGCCTTTTAATAATATTTTCCAAATATAACTTCAATTCGAAAAAAGTTTGAACATATACCTACGTATAAACAGAATTATAAATATTTCAAATTTGAAATAAATTTTAAATTATTTTTCAAATTAAAGATTATTTTTCCAAAATAATTGCTATCATGAGTGAATTAGAATTTTCATCTAATATGTAGATCAACCATTGATAAAAATTATGCGGTTCCTAGGCAAAAGGAAACAAGAAAGGTTTATACGAAACCAAATATAACAAATGATATATTATTTAAGAACTATTTTCAAATTAAACATTTATTTGAACAATCCTAATATACACATGCTTTAATATTTGTCATATAAATTATAATTTATTTGTTTGTAATTCAAATTTTCAAATGTACTATGTATTGGATATGGATGGAATGTAAGTTTTCATTACAGAAATTCTGATTGACGATAAATCCTTATGCTGCAGTAAATACAATAAAATACTTAAATACTATGATTAATCAGAGTTCCTATAGTTAAAAAGTACATTATTCAGAAGGAAAATCTAGCACTATAAAAGGCGTTCATTGGCTGATTCTTTTGTGTTAGGGACCGATTCTGTTTTAAGCAAACATCAACGGACTTGTTATGTTTTACGATCATAAACTCATGGTCACATACTATGTATGTATGTTTGTTTGTATATTGTACATAAATGTTATGTATCTTTATTTGCAGCAATAATGTTATAACTTAAAAATAGAAAAATGTTCTTGTGCACAGAATTTGTGTTTATTAGTCAGAATTATCATTCTTATTATACAAACTTACAAATATCAGCTGTAAAATTAGTTATTTAAAACTTATACGCATACACTCTTTTATATAGAGATAAAAAACTTAAAATTTTAAAAACCTTGAAAGTTGAAATTTTAGTTTTTGAGATACAACACTCTGGCTGCAAACGAAAGCGTTTTCATTCAGTCTACTACAAATTGAATTTAAGAAAAATTTCGTAATTCAATTTGGAGTAGATTTGAATTAAAGAAAAATTGAATCATTCAAAGCGAAATGTAATTCAAACATGAATGAATTCAGTATATGAATGATTTAAAATAAACTGAAAGCCTTTGAATTAAGCTATTGAATTAATTCCTGAGAATTAAAATAAGGATTGGAAGATTAAATTTTATATTTCTGAATTAAGATTTTGGTGAATTAAGCTCAAATTGAATTGATTAATTCGAAGCTCTGACAATAAATAATATTTTGTATTTTAATAAAAAATAGCAATTGAGCAAAATTTTTATTTTTCCCTTTAAATTTATTATTAAAACCCATTAAAAACCTTTTAAGGGTAATTTTTAATGGTTCCTATTAGAAAAATTTGAAAAAATAAAAAAAACAACTTAAACATCTAGACAATAACAATAGCACGTGAGAGTTAAAATTGAAATGACTTCCCACGCCGTTTGTAATCAACACCACTACGTTACAAACTTTACAATATAATAATAATAATAATAATAATTCCACCAACTCTATCACAATAAACATCCCTTATCGAAACAACTTTTATAATATTTTACTGCTTTTTATACGGTGTATATGAAAAAACACTATTGCTTCCCTTATTGTGAATTTAATCAAATACCTTAATAAACATTTTCTTTACATTTTAATATCCAATTGGACATTTATTCTCATCAAATATTAATACTGTGATTTTAAAAGATATTTTGGGTAAATTAAAATGTTAATGAAAGTTGAAATTTCAAGGATCTTTCTGCAAAAATTATGGAAAATTTTACTTTCGTCTTTTAATTTGATCGATCAATTTCATTGGAAAGTTTTATAGAAAATCTATTGATCTGTATGTGAACTATATAGCCAACTGTATGTCGACTCTATAGTGAAGTCTATGTCGATCCTATGATCGACTCTATAGTAAACACTATGTAGATTCTATAGTCAAATCAAAGTAGATTATGTAGTTTACACTAAGGTCGAATCTATATGCATATAGTCGACTCTATAATCAATTCTCCGCCGACCCTCTGTCGACTATACAGTTGAGTCTATAGTCTAGTCTATAGTCGAGCCTATAAGCGACTATATAGTCGAGTCTATAGGCGACTATATAGTCGAGACTATAGGCGACTATATAGTCCAGACTATAGGCGACTATATAGTCGAGACTATAGGCGACTATATAGTCGAAACTATAGGTGACTATATAGTCGAAGCTATAGGTGACTATATAGTCGAAACTATAGGTGACTATAGGCGACTATATAGTCGAAACTATAGATGACTATGTAGTCGAAACTATAGGTGACTATATAGTCGAGACTATAGGCGACTATATAGTCGAGTCTATAGTAGACTATATAGTCGAGTCTATAGCCTAGTCTATAGTCGACTATATAGTTAAGTCTAGTCATCTATATAGTCGAAACTATTGTCGACCATATAGTCGAGTCTATAGTCGAGTTTATAGTCGAGTCTATAGTCGACTATATAGTTGAGTCTACAGCCGACTACATAATCGAGTATATAGTCAAGTCTATTGTCGACTATATAGTCGAGTCTATAGTAGCAAAAAACGGAATCAGCTTTAAATATCTCCATTGCGACTTTAGTTGTAATTCCGCTGATTATTTCTTTAAGAGAATGAAAATAAGAGTTCCAATCATAGAAGAAATGAACCTATTCGGACTATAAGATTCAACCTACTCCATTGCTACGCCTAAATTGGGTAGAATTAAGGTTTTCTGCTAGTGTAAAGTATCTAGGCATCGTTCTGGGTTCCAAGCTAAGATTCTAAGTTCACATGTAGCTAATGTATCGAGGAAAGTCATAGCTAAGATTCTAAGCTCACATGTAGCTAATGTATCTGATAGTGTAAAGTATCTAGGCATCGTTCTGGGTTCCAAGCTAAGATTCTAAGCTCACATGTAGCAAATGTATCGAGGAAAGTCATAGCAATTAGGTTCAGCGCTGATGACGCCTATTTATATTGGTAATGCGTCCACTTTGCAGCTCTGCTTCCTGTTAAATGATTCAGAGTAGATCTATACTGATGGATATTAGGCTTCAACGGGTGTGGAAGGTGGCTTTCGTAATCTTTCGTTTTAAGCTTGTGTTTCTAGTAACACAATCATTGCAGCGGCATTCAGACTAAGACTGCGGGCATAAAACGATCCAGATAAGGTCTAGATCTATACATAAGGATCTTAGCTTTCAACGGATATGGAAGCTGTCATCAGTAATCCTCGTTTTAATAAAAGTATTGTAGTGAGGTGCTACATGATATACAATGTAAATATCTGAATTTGTACTAACAGCAAGCTTGCTATTAGATGTGAACCAGCTAATCCAAACCTATTCTGAACAAGAAGTCTATCTAAACACTTTTAAATGTTTTTAAAATAATGCACAAAATATCAGTCACAGATGATGCTTCAACACTTTCAAATTTTTAAAAAATCCAGCTTCTTTCTTCACAACAATATTATATTAAAAAAATTAAGTTTCAAAATAACTTCTTCCCTGCACACCACTGTCTTTTACGCCATTTCAATTTAAGATTATTTCTTTATTCAAGATTATTACTATTAAAAACTGGTACTATCAACAGGCTTCAATAGAAAATTTCTCACATTACCCACTTGTATAGAAAGCACAATAAGAATAACAGCAACAAAAACAGAAGCAAATTGTGTATTTGACCTGGTAGCTTTTCAATCCAACAGGATAAAAAATCTTTTCCTCTTTTTTTCCATTTCGAATTTCACACACAAATACAATGTGAAAAGTAAATAAAACAAGGGTGGTTATTTTATAAGTGAAGGTTGCATGGGAATCAATGTATTTTTTAAGTGTTATCCCACAACGACAACAAGAGCACACAGGACATTTAATAATCATATGTTGATTATTATAAACAATATTAACAAACACAATATGTATGTAGTTTACACAACGGAAAAAAAGAAGCAACATAATTTGATTTTTATTGTGGTGACACTCAATTAAGTGGAAAATGTCTAGTTGAGGTGGTAATTTATCTATTTTTTGTTCAGTTATATTATTTTGAATATTCATAATATTGAGTACAAAAATTAATGGTTCATTAAATTTGTAACAAAAAAAAAAATAATAAAGAATAATAATAAAATCTACATATGATTATTAAACATACACATACCTGTTTTCTTGATTGCAGTTAAATTTATGAATATTCATCAATTTACTTCAATATCTTCGATTTCTGTTGGTTACAAACCATTAGTTTTTTGGAGTATAAATCATCAATTGTATATTGAGGCTGTATTTAGGTTTTTATTACAAAAAAGTTACTTATATTTGTAGAGTTGTAAAGAGGAAAAAATTATAACGTAAACAGACTTACTTTATTCAAACATCCCTTTTTTGTTAGTAGCTTAAGTTGTTTGATTTGTGTTTGTGTGTGCATTAAATTTGGTGTTTTAATAAATTGTGTTTTCTTTCTGTTTAATGCCATGGCACTTGATTGGGATTGCTAATAATGCCTTTTTTATAATATTTAGCAGTAGCAGCGGCAGAGGTGGTAAATGTTGGAGAGTTAAGAGCCGGCTCATAGGAAGGACCACTACCTTCAGCTTTCAAAACTGCCGCGCATTTCCATTTTCTGCTATAGTTCACTGTAAAGTAGAATAAATAACAAATTGTTTTTATATTAATTTATTAAAAGTTGTTACTTACTTTTCCAAATGCGCACACAGCCATCATCACCTGTTGATATCAACATGGTTGCTAACATATTCCAACAAACCCTCCAAACGGGACAATTATGGTCAGTGTGCTTAACTGTTTGAATATCTAGTTTTGAATTACCGGAACCATCACTGAAAGTTAAAGGAACGTGTAATTACGAAGGCTGACAAAATTATAAAAAAAATAGTTCGAGTTCTCAGATCTAGTTGTGTTCTAGTTCGGTTCTAGTTCAGTTCTAGTTGAGTTCTAGTTCGGTTCTAGTTCACTTCTAGTTCAGTTCTCGTTCAGTTCTAGTTCAGTTTTAGTTCAGTTCTAGTTCAGATCTAGTTCAGTTCTAGTTCAGTTCTAGTTCAGTTCTAGTTCGGTTCTAGTTCAATTTTTGGTTCAGTTCTAGTTCGGTTCTAGTTCAGTTCTAGTTCAGTTCTAGTTCGGTTCTAGTTCAGTTCTAGTTCGGTTCTAGTTCAGTTCTAGTTCAGTTCTAGTTCAGTTCTAGTTCAGTTCTAGTTCAGTTCTAGTTCAGTTCTAGTTCAGTTCTAGTTCAGTTCTAGTTCAGTTCTAGTTCAGTTCTAGTTCAGTTCTAGTTCAGTTCTAGTTCAGTTCAGTTCAGTTCTAGTTCAGTTCTAGTTCAGTTCTAGTTCAGTTCTAGTTCAGTTCTAGTTCAGTTCTAGTTCAGTTCTAGTTCAGTTCTAGTTCAGTTCTAGTTCAGTTTTAGTTCAGTTCTAGTTCGGTTCTAGTTCAGTTCTAGTTCAGTTCAGTTCAGTTCAGTTCTAGTTCAGTTCAGTTCTAGTTCTAGTTCAGTTCAGTTCTAGTTCAGTTCTAGTTCTAGTTCAGTTCTAGTTCAGTTCTAGTTCAGTTCTAGTTCAGTTCTAGTTCAGTTCTAGTTCAGTTCTAGTTCAGTTCTAGTTCAGTTCTAGTTCAGTTCTAGTTCAGTTCTAGTTCAGTTCTAGTTCAGTTCTAGTTCAGTTCTAGTTCAGTTCTAGTTCAGTTCTAGTTCAGTTCTAGTTCAGTTCTAGTTCAGTTCTAGTTCAGTTCTAGTTCAGTTCTAGTTCAGTTCTAGTTCAGTTCTAGTTCAGTTCTAGTTCAGTTCTAGTTCAGTTCTAGTTCAGTTCTAGTTCAGTTCTAGTTCAGTTCTAGTTCAGTTCTAGTTCAGTTCTAGTTCAGTTCTAGTTCAGTTCTAGTTCAGTTCTAGTTCAGTTCTAGTTCAGTTCTAGTTCAGTTCTAGTTCAGTTCTAGTTCAGTTCTAGTTCAGTTCTAGTTCAGTTCTAGTTCAGTTCTAGTTCAGTTCTAGTTCAGTTCTAGTTCAGTTCTAGTTCAGTTCTAGTTCAGTTCTAGTTCAGTTCTAGTTCAGTTCTAGTTCAGTTCTAGTTCAGTTCTAGTTCAGTTCTAGTTCAGTTCTAGTTCAGTTCTAGTTCAGTTCTAGTTCAGTTCTAGTTCAGTTCTAGTTCAGTTCTAGTTCAGTTCTAGTTCAGTTCTAGTTCAGTTCTAGTTCAGTTCTAGTTCAGTTCTAGTTCAGTTCTAGTTCAGTTCTAGTTCAGTTTCAGTTCTAGTTCAGTTCTAGTTCAGTTCTAGTTCAGTTCTAGTTCAGTTCTAGTTCAGTTCTAGTTCAGTTCTAGTTCAGTTCTAGTTCAGTTCTAGTTCAGTTCTAGTTCAGTTCTAGTTCAGTTCTAGTTCAGTTCTAGTTCAGTTCTAGTTCAGTTCTAGTTCAGTTCTAGTTCAGTTCTAGTTCATTCTAGTTCAGTTCTAGTTCAGTTCTAGTTCAGTTTCTAGTTCAGTTCGATTCAGGTTCAGTTCTAGTTCAGTTCTAGTGCAGTTCTAGTTCAGTTCTAGTCAGTTCTAGTTCAGTTCTAGTTCAGTTCTAGTTCAGTTCTAGTTCATTCTAGTTCAGTTCTAGTTCAGTTCTAGTTTCAGTTCTAGTTCAGTCTAGTTCAGTTCTAGTTCAGTTCTAGTTCAGTTCTAGTTCAGTTCTAGTTCAGTTCTAGTTCAGTTCTAGTTCAGTTCTAGTTCAGTTCTAGTTCATCTAGTTCAGTTCTAGTTCAGTTCTAGTTCAGTTCTAGTTCAGTTCTAGTTCAGTTCTAGTTCAGTTCTAGTTCATTCTAGTTCAGTTCTAGTACAGTTCTAGGTACAGTTCTAGTTCAGTTCTAGTTCAATTCTAGTTCAGTTCAGTCTAGTTCTAGTTCAGTTCTAGTTCAGTTCTAGTTCAGTTCTAGTTCAGTTCTAGTTCAGTTCTAGTTCAGTTCTAGTTCAGTTCTAGTTCATTCTAGTTCAGTTCTAGTTCAGTTCTAGTTCAGTTCTAGTTCAGTTCAAGTTCAGTCCTAGTTCTGTTCTAGTTCATATGTACCTACAAAAAGGAAAATAAACAAAACAAGACTTACGCGACTCCTCGTATATTAACAATATATAAATCTTTGCTGGCCACTGCCAACATATGGAAACTACGACCAGCATTTGGAGCAAAAGCCAAATCTGTAACAGGATCAGTTATATCATTAATCGTATCCACTTTAACACACTTTCTGGCATTTTCACTATAGGCAAATATAAAAACTTTGCCGGTAATAGTAGCAGTTTCATCACTTCCAGCCTAATTAATAAAAAAACAATCATTAATAGGTTTTCTATTATAATATAATTTGCACATACCGCTAACAATTGTGACGACAGCTTATAGGTCGATGTATTCCAAGACAAACAGCTTAAAGGCAATTTATTTGTGATTTCATGTTGAACCGGCCAATTGCTTAAATTCATTATATCCGGCGCTTCATAAATACGAATAACACCATCTGCTGATGCAGTAGCCAATAGTAAACCTAAATATTTGGGTGCAAACTCCACATCAGTAACACTGGTGCGTGAATCCACTAGAACTGTACGTTTAACCCAACGTCTAGCAGGAGTCATGGTGGCAGCTACTTTTTCTCCCAACACCTCTTCCCATACCGAGGCGGTACGATCGAAAGAACACGAGGCTAAAACTTGACCAAATTCCGGATGAGCCCAAGATACCCGCCATATAGAACCGGAATGTGCCTTCCAACTAGAGGTTACCGACCATTTTCCCTGTTCATTTTCATCCCATATCTGCAAGCAAAAAAAACACATTTTATCAAAGTTTTTCTTGTACAAAACACAGCCATCTTAATTTGCGCGCTTACTTTTACTGTCTGGTCACTGGAACAAGTAGCCATGCGGCGTCCATAATAATCAAATACCACATCGTGTATAACATCTTTATGATCAACAACAATGGATTCTACTTCAAACATTTTTATTTATTTTTCTTAATTTTCACAGCTTTTTGAACACCGCAAAAATAAAACACAACTGTAAACAAAAAAACAGTGGGAAAATGTGTGAAGAAATTGCGATAGTACAGGGTTGTTAACAAACATATGATTGCAAAAGTATTGCCAGCGGTAAAAAGCAACGAAGAAACTTTCTCTCTTAAATTTTATTTTCTCTTTTATCAAGCAATTAGTGATGCCACATTTTATTATCATAGAAAAATCAATCAGTGTTGATTGTAAGAAATAATTATCGTTATTTATAATTAATTATTAATTGTACTAGTCAAAATCTATGATACGACATCATGATACAACCATAAGATATTATTATGATACGACATGAAAGCGCCTCACATAATATCAAAGAACTGAAATTTCATATAAGTTCTTTGCGTTAACTATGATAATGTTGGAAAAACTTTAAAAAAGACCTTTTTATCATTTGACCAAATATTGACCCAGAACTAAATTTTTCAGAAACGGTATCTTAAAATAAACCAAATTTCAATTTTCGGTGGGAACGTCAGTAACTTATTCTTTTTCCATACATACGGAGCCATCGTATGTATGCATATACTTTATGGGGTACCTTCTCACGATGGTGAAGGCTATAAAAACAAGAGGCTAATATTTATAACATGATTTTAATCTAATAAATTATTTATATAATAACCTGTAATATAAATTACAGATTATTCGTGAAATTTTAATAATAATAACAATTATGAATAGAGTGTAATATTTTATAAGATTACCCTTAACACTAATCAACAGTTATCAGTAAAGTACTCTTTAACTACCGTTATCACAAAATATAAAAATATTGCAAAAACTTGATAAGTCATAAATCGAAAATAAAAAGTAATCATTACATCACGAACGAAATAAACAGGATTTTTTATATACATATACATACATAATTTTGAACACAAAAAAGGACCGATATTGAAAAAAATTGGAAACATTGAAGAAAAAGCTATCTAAACTCCTTTGTCCAATTTTTTCTATGGCCAATAGGTGAAAAGTTACACTCATTTGAAAAACCCCAAAATTACCAAAATGCCTAACATTGACGCCCTTTAACTCGGGCAGTTCTTGACCGATAGAGTTGACAATTTGTGTCTGGCCTACTATACAATAGCTTTGGTGCAAATTTCATCCAAATCGATTTTTCAAATTGTGTCACTTGACACGAAATTGTCCACATGCATGTGGTGAATATTTTTGAATGTACCATTTTTTAAAATCTTTCTCTGAGTATTAAATCAAAAGTTTAAAAAATTAAATATTTTTAATTCAATTTAAAATAGACAGAAAACTTTTATAATAGAAAATTTAGATAAATTTATAGTTATTTGAATTCAAATAAAATTTATATTTTTCAGAGAGAATTTAAATTTCAATAGGAATGGTAGAAAACTTGTTTAATTCAATTTGTAAGTAGCTGAATGCAAGCAAAATCTAATCATTCAGGAATAAGAATTAATTCTCGGGAATGAAGTGAGCACGGGGAATAAGTTAAAAGTATTGATAATTATTTATTTAATGTTACTAACAATTCGAATTAGGGTTCCATAAATCGATTTTCGAACTATCTTGTAAGAAATAAATCGAATGTAATTAATTAATAATAATTAAATTAAAAGTCAATATCAAAAATTTCAATAAGTCGACTTTTATTTTTAACTACAAAACCCAAATTTGAATTTTTCGAAATTACCGTAATCTTTTAATTACGGTGAAATGGCAATACTTCTCCACCTACCCTTTAATAAAAGAAAAACAACAACAATAATAAATAAGACCAGAAAAAAGAGAGAGAAAAACAAACTGTAAACATAAATGATGCCATATGATTTTTCATTGGTTCTCTTTTACATAAAAATAGTGGAAATTTTTCTATAAATTCTACTATTATTTGAAGTACAATTTGCGATCTAATATTATTTTATTGAAACCAATAAAAACTGCAATTCATTATATTTATTGCGTAGTCTTTTGATTAAGGAATTTTTATCTTATCTTACAAGAATAAAATCAAAGCATTTCATAGTTTTTGGTTAGTGGCATCACTGACTTAACGGTGAGAAATGAGAGAGAGAACATTTCCCAAATAACCGCACATCGCATTACAATAAAGTTCATTTACGGAAGTTATTGTTATTAGCAAAGGAAAAAATATTAAATAAAAGAAGAAATTAATTACTTCTAGTGTTATTGATTAAACAAAATGAAAAATATGTATTAATAAATGTAAATTAACAAAATAAATTAGCAACACTTAAATATAACAAGTGTAAACAGAAAGAAAAAGTAAAATTTTCTTAAGGAGAAAAAAACTTGTCAAACGAAAAGAAAAAAAACAGACCAGTGAAAAAAGTTTTTGTGTTCATTTTGCATTTTAACTAAAAAAATAATTATTTAAAAAACCACAAAAGACAACTACAAATATTTAAGAAAAAATGGAAGCAGGTAATGGATCATTTTTTGTTAATTTTCAAGGGTTTTTGTTTAAGTTTTTATTCAAGCTTTTTCTTTCCTAAACATCAGGCCATAAGGCGTCAACATCAGGTGATTTTTTTCACTACTGTATATTTTATGTGTACTAAAAAAATATGTGAAATTGTCTTTAAAGAGGGTTAATCACCCCTCTTATTAGAAGGAACGAAAGTGAAAAATTATTCACCTACCTTTCTACGCACTAAAAAAATAATATTTGTAAAATTTTGTTTTAAAATTTTTAGTTTAACTTTTTAAAAAGTACTACATATTTGTAATTCCAAAAATTTATATTTTTTTCTTTTAATTTTCTTTTTTTACTCTTATTATTTATGTGTGTATATAAGTATGTATGTAGTTTTGTTGTTAAGTTTTTTTTTCTTATTGGGTTTCTCTTTGTAATTGCGTCTCTTCTCTTCCTCTATTGTATTATGTTAATTTGTTCTAAGTTGTTTTTATTTCTTATTTACTCGAGAATTTCTCTTTAAAACAACAACCACGCTGTTTTTATGTTTTTTTTTGTACATAATCACTAGAATTTTGCAGTTTTTTACTCATGCTGACCTTGGTTTCCTATTGGATGTAAAACCTCGCGCCATATCAATACATGTGCTAAATCTTCGAATTAGAATTTGTATTAGTGTAGGTTAAGCACAGATATGTCATTTTGGTGCTTTTTCAGATTGATTTTAGTGTTTTTTGGAATAGAAAGCTTCTTTAATTAATTTTGATAATTATTTATTTTATATGCCTACAACGATCGAAATCTATAATCAAGTCTATAGAATGGTAGGTAGTCATGACTATAACATATTTTAGACTATATTCAAATTATAGAATGGTCTATTGTCGATACTATTGAATAGTCTATAGTCAAGACTATAGTATGGTCTATAGCCGCATCAATAGAATAGATTATAGAGTGGTGTATATTCGAGACTATAGAATGGTATATAGTCAAGACTATAGAATTGTATATAGTAAAAACTATAGAATTGTATACAGTCAAAACTATAGAAGTGTATATAGTCAAAACTATACAAGTGTCTATAGTCAGTTGAGATTATAGACCATTCTATGTTCGAGACTATATAATGGTCTATAGTCAATATTACCGAATGATCTATATTCAAGACTATAGAACGGTCTATAAAATACTATAGAAAAGTCTATAGTCGAGATTATAGAATAGTCTATAGGTGAGACTATAATTTTGTCTGAAGTTAAGACATTGGAACAGCTTATATAAAGGTCTATACTCAAGACTATAGATAGAGTTGTCAATAGTCAAGACATTTTAATGGTGTATAGTCGAGACTATGTCATGGTCTTCAGTTGAGACTATAGACCATACTATGTTCGAGACTATAGTCAATATTATCGAATGATCTATATTCAAGACTATAGAACGTTCTATAGAAGACTATAGAACGGTCTATAGTCAAGACTATCGAATGGATTGTAGTAAAGACTACAGATTTGTCTTAAGTCAAGATTATAGTCTGGTCTATAAAAAGATCTTAAAAAAATTTAAATCTTAAAAAAAATTTTAAAAATACTAGCGATTTTTTGTAAAAGAAAAGTTGACAACTTTGTCCAAGTAAGCATGTCTCTAGTTAATATTATATATAATTTTTATACAAACATACATTCCGAATGAATGGAATTGAGAATGTGTAACATCTAAGAGCATTCCTAATAATTTCTTTTGGTATGACGTTATTGAAATGAGAATTTCAAAACTGACTATATGTTTAGGGGCCCGATAAACAGTTAGCTGGTGTGTGTCTTATCTGTCATACATATCCACTTAAGGTTTTTTCCCTCTACAACTACCTTGATCGAGCTATATCTTTAATAAAAAAAAATACTAAAATATTAGATTTACGATTACTAAACAATAACTTGAAATGTCTAGCTATCAAATATACAAAATTAGAAATTCCTCCCTCTTTATGAGGTTTTATTTAAACGCATGTATAACTTTTTAAGATAATTGATAATTATTATTATGAATAATAAATTCATAATAATAATAATACACTACTTAAGTTGTAATCGTATGATATCAAAAAAATAACGCAATTTGTTGATACAGTTGTGTTAAGAATTATAGAATCAATCAGTGGAAAAATTCTATGTTATGGAAGTTGAAGTGTTGTTTCCTTTTTTTTTAATTTTATAGAGTTGAGTATTGAATACTGAGATAAGTTATCATGATTTAAAAATTAAGTAATAGATTTCATATTTTGAAAAAATACCAAATCATTGTTATTAAAAATTATCAAAGTTAAAGCGAAACACCCAAAAAGTTATTTTAAGAATTTTTCATATAACGACAGAAGTGGAATTTCTTTATTTTGTTGTTAAAAGTGTTCTGTTATCAAAAATCGTTTGCTTTAAAAACGATTTTTGATAAGCTGTTACCTTCTATTTTTGATTTACTTTTTTATTTAGCATTTAAAGTGATTCCTTATACCTATTCACTTTGATCACACTTATTAGCAACGTGATTATTGTACAATATATTCTTTATTTCTATGCTAATTCCATTTCACTCTTA